CCACTTTCATTTCATTTCTGATTTTAATTATTTCTGCATTCTGTCCTTTTGTCTTTGTCAATGTAGTTAAAAGTTTGTCAATTGTGGGCCAGGCGCGGTGGCTCACGCCCGTAATCCCAGCACTTTGGGAGGCCGAGGTGGGTGGATCACGAGGTCAGGAGATCAAGACCATCCTGGCTAACACTGTGAAACCCCATTTCTACTAAAAATACAAAAAATTAGCCTAGCGTGGTGGTGGGTGCCTGTAGTGGCAGCTACTCAGGAGGCTGAGGCAGGAGAATGGCATGAACTAGGGAGGCGGAGCTTGCAGTGAGCCAAGATCACACCACTGCACTCCAGTCTGGGCAACAGAGTGAGACTCTGTCTCAGAAAAAAAAAAAAAAAAAAAAGTTTGTCAGTTGTGTTGATCTTTTCATAAAGCCAACTTCCGGTTTCCTTGATTCTCTCTATTGCTTTTCTCTTCCCTATTTTATTATCTCTAGTCTGATCTTTATGATTCCCATCCTTCTGCCAGCGTTGGATATAGTTTACTGTTTTTAGTTGTTCAAGGTGTAAAGTTAGTTTACTGATTTGAGATCTTTCTTCTTTTTTAATGTAGGTGTTTGTGCCATAAATTTCCCTCTGAGCACTGCTTTCACTTTCCCATAAGTTTTAGTATGCTGTGTTTTCATATGTATTTGTTTCCAGGTAATTTCTTTCTTCTTCTTCTTCTTTTTTTTTTTTAGACAGGGTCTTGCTCTGTCACCTAGACTGGAGTACAGTGGCAAAATCACAGCTCAGGGCAGCCTTGACCTCCTTGGTCTCAAGCAACGCTTCCAATTCAGCCTCCCAAATACTTGGACTACAGGTGTGTACCACCATGACCTGCTAAATTTTGTATTTTATGTAGAGAGGGAGTTTCGCCATGTTGCCCAGGCTGATCTCCAACTCCTGTGCTCAAGTGATCTGCCCACCTGGGCCTCTCAAAGGGCTGGGATTACAGGCAGAAGCCACCATGCCCGGCCTTGTTTCTAAGTATTTTCTAATTTCTTTTGCAATTTCTTCTCTGACCATTTGGTTTTTTAGAGAGTGGGTTGTTTAATCACGACTTATTTGTGAAGTTTTAGTTTTTCCTTCTGTCTTTGATTTACAGCTTCCTTCCATTGTGGCTGGAAAATATACCTTGAATTATTTCAATCTTTCAAAATTTGTTGAGACTTGTTTTGTGGCATAATATATGGTCTAGTTTTCCATGTGCACTTAAGAAGAATGTATTCTGCTGTTCGGTAGATAGTTCTATATAAGTCCATTAGTTCTTATTGGTTTATAGTGTTTTTCAAGTCCTCTATCTTCTTATTTCCTATGCCACATCTTAGCTACCCATTCTACTACTGCTGGACAATTATATTGGTCATAGTATTTTGCTATTATAAACAAAGCTTTATTAAAATGTCTCCTTGTGCACATGTTTCTCATACCTAGGAGTGGAATTGCTATGTGTAGGGTATGCACATGTTCAACTAGCCAATGTCTATTTTCCAAAGTGGCTATATCAATTTACATTCCCACCCTCAGTGTATAGTGAGAGTTCCCAGTACTCCACAGCTTGACAATGGTTGGTATTATGAGACTTCTTAGGTTTTGTCAACCTGGTGGTTATGTTACGATGTCTTATTGTGGATGCAATTTTTATTCCTTGACTACAGTAAGTTATATTTACCACTTTGTCCTTCTTTTGTTTCCTTTTGTTTCTCTCGTGTTCCCCTTCTTTCCCCTCCAACCATTGTCTTGATCCTCTCCCTCCCATAAAATTAGAAGAGAATCACACCAGTGGATAAAAGCACATGTGTGGACTCAGACTTGGTTTCTAGTCCTGCACTGTCACTTTCTAACTGTGTGATGTCTGGCAAGGTACTTAATAGTACCTAGTCTAATCACTTAATAGATATTCACTATTATTATACAGCTTAACTTTAGACTCAGACAAACTGACATTCAAATTCCAGCTTTGCTTCCAACATTTTATTTAACAAACTTCTTAAAAACATTTTATTTTTAAGTAATTGTAGATTCACAGGAAGTTATTAAAAATGTACAGGAAGAGCCTGTGTTCCCTTCATCCAGTTTCTCCCAATGTTTATATCTTCTGTAATTTTAGTACAATATCAAAACCAGAAGCTGACATTGAACAATGTATATATATGTTTCATTTTACGATGTGTAGATTCATAGAAGCATGACCACAATTAAGGCACAGAACTATTCCATTACCACAAAGACCTCCCTCCTGCTACTACTTTATAATCACACCCATATCATTTCTCCCACCATTCCTAGCACCTGGCAACCACTAATCCATTCCCCATCTCTATAATTGTATTATTTCAAGAATGTTTTATGAATTGAATCATATAGTATGTGCTCTTTTGAGATTACCTTTTTTTTACTCAGTATAATTCCCTGGAGATATATCCAAGTTGCTGCTTGAATCAATAGTTCATTCCTTTTAATTGTTCAGTAATTCCATGTGATGGATGTACCACAGCTTCTTTAACCATATAACCATCTAAGGTCTTAGTTATCTCCAGTTTGGAGCTATTATAAATAAAGCATCTATGAACTTCTGTGTACAGATTTGTACAATAATGTAAGTTTTCATTGGCAAGTACAAGGTCTGAGTCATATGGTAAGCCCACTTAAATTTTAAAAGGAACTGCCAAGTGATTTTCCAGAGCAGTTGTATGATTTTACATTCCCACACGTAATGTATGAGTGATCCAGTTTCTCAGCATTCTCATCAGCATTTGTTGTTGCCACAAGTTTTTATTTTAGCTCTCTTGATTTGTGTGTATTGATATCTCATTGTGGTTTTAATTTGAATTTCCCTAATGGCTAATGATGTTGAATGCCTTTTCATGCACTTTATTTGCCTTCACATGTCTTCTTTAGTGAGGTATCTGTTCAGATATTTTGCCTATTTTTTAATTGGGTTGTTTTCTCATTGTTGGGTTTTAGAAAATTTTTATGTAGTCTAGATACTTGTCCTTTTCCACTATGAGGCTTGCAAAGATTTTCTCCGACTATGTAGCTTGTCTTTTTGTGTTCTTAATAGAATATTCAATGTAGCAAAAGTATTTTATTTTTATGAGGTCAAAAATGTCAAACTTTTCAGTTAGGGATCATACTTTTGGTGTTAAGTCTAAAAACTCTTCACCTAGCCCTAGGTCCTAATGATTTTTTTATTTGAAAAAAAAAAAGTTTTTATAGGTGCTAGCTCTTTAAATCTCCTGGAACTCAGCCAGAGGTGGAAAGGGTTGCAACAATGTGGAATGGATAAGATCTAGTATTTTGTAGCACAATAGGGTGACTATAGTTAGCAATAATTTGTCGTATTTTAAAAAATGATTAAATGAGTCTCTGTAATCCAGCAGTCTAATTTCAGAATCCAAGTGCTCAATCATCACTTTATGTGAACTTTGAGCAATTTACGTTATTTCTTGGTTACTGCATTTCTTCATTTGTGAAATAGCGATGATTAATTCTTATTCATTGGGAAGATTAAATGAAATAATTCATGTGCCTGGTTTATGGTGAAAGTGATTGATGAATGTCAGCTGTGGTAGTTACTGTAGGTTTGCTATCAATTCTCAGGGCTGAAGAGGTCTGTGGTTTATAATCAAGTTTACAGACTTTTGGAAATAGGATGATCCTTTCTGGCTAAGCCACCTGTGAAATGGGTGACTGTATTCTAATTTAAGATTGTGGAGCATAAATGGTTATAGACAGCGAGAAATTAGAGAGCCCCTCACTCCTACAGTGAGGCTTTATGTAATATTTATATCCAGTATAGAAGCTCCAGGACTGGAAGGCACCTTAGAGATCCCAGAATATACATAGAAAAGATGTAAGATATTTAATGAGAAGTTTAATATCATATGCATTTATTAAGTTCTCTTTTGTGCAAAGCAGGGCTTATAAGAAAAAAAAATCAAATATTTTCCCTCCCAGTCTTCATACAAGTAGTTGTTCTTTTAGTAGGGATTGGAAGAGGTGTGGAGCAGGCTAGGTTTTTTTGTCTATAGATACATTTTTTTTTCTGATTTGTTTTCAGGTGTGGATCAATTGTTACCTTTTTAAACTCAGGAAGCCAGATGACTGAGCAAAACAACTTTCAGTGCTTTTAGTGAATCCCAGGTGGATGTTCAATGTTGCTAGAGGGGATTAACAGGCATACCGAGTGAACAGTATTTCAGTCAAAGTACACAACTGGGCACTCAGAGTATAGCAGGGAAAAAAAGAAAAGCATAATGTGAATAGAAATCCTTTTTTCCCCCACCAAAGGTGGTGGCCACTCAGACAGCAGCTCATATAACTGAGTTCCTGTGATGCTGCTTCTATCACAGCTGAGAGCAGGTTTTTGGACCTTTTGGTTTCCATCCTTTTTCAGCTGTGCAGCTTTTCTTCTGTTTTATGCTACCACCACCTGCTGTCCTATTCCTACCACACAGAATCTCCTCTCTTTTCCAGAAAGAACTAATCAGACTGCAAGCCATGATAGGGACATTTCTCAAGAAGTTTAAGCAATGACACAACTTTGGAAGCCTTAATTTTAAAGCCACAGGCTTTTAAAAACAGAAATGTCTTGTTTTTAAATGCCTGTAGGCAAAGTATCTTCGTTTCTAGGCATGTAATAATAAAGCATGGAATACATGATTTTCACCATAGCAAGAGGAAACAATTGTATGGACAAACATTGTATTTATTTTTATTTAGCAACCACTTATCTAGCATTTATTGTGTACTAGGCAGGATTTTAAATGCTCTACGAGAATTAAGTCATTTTAATCCTCATATCAGCCCTATGAGGTAAGCTCTATTATTATTTGCATTTTAACAATGAGAAAACCAAGGCACAAAAAGGTCAAGTGACATGCCCAAGGTCACTGTGGTGGATTATAATATTGTTCAAAATATTAGCTACTCCTCCCTATGGGAGGATTATACATCCCTGCCCTGTTGACATCAGCCTTAGCTGTGTGACTTACGCCCCTCCCTGTGGGAAGAGTCCTCTTCCCCTCCCCATTTGCATCCAGCTCAGTCATATAATTTGCTTTGTCCTATGACATATGAACAGAAGTAAAACGTTCTGAACAAAGGCCCTGAGAGTCAGCTCACGGTTCACCACATTCCTTTCTCCATCCAGGAGACCAACAGTGTTCGTGAGAGGAGCTGTTCCTTCATATTGGATCCTAGACTGAAGACAAATGAAGAAGAATTTTAGTTCACCCAGATAGTACATGACTGATAATTAAAATTTTTGTGGTATAAACCACTAAAATGCTTGATTATTTGTTCCCGTGTTTGTCATCTTTGGCAGTGTAACAACCAACTACCAGATTTTAGTGGCATGCAATAACAAACATCTATTTATTGCTTTCAAGTTGGAAGATAATAAAGAAGCTCTGCTCCAGGTGTCTCATTTTAGGGCCCAGGATGAAAGACCAACAGCTATCAGTGGTGAGTTCTTCTCATGCAATGGCAAAACTATAAGAGGGAAAGTTCAACTGCCCAAGTGTATTCCAAACATCTACTGATAAAATATCCTCTAAAATCCCATTGGATAAAGCAAGTCACATGGCCAGGTCCAAAGTCAAGAGGTGAAAAAGTAAAAGCTACTCACTGTAATGCAATGGCAAGGGAGTGGATGTATAATAATATTATTGGTGTAATAAAGAATTGAGATCAACTACTGAACCTATCACAGTTACTTTCTTATAATGTAGGTAAGATGACAGTGTCAATAGCTGAAATTCAAATCCAGGCATTTTGGCTTTATATGTTTTTATGTACAAATTTTTCAAGATATAACTGCTATAACATAAAATTCACTATTTTGAAATACAGTTCAGTGATTTTTAGCATACTTACAGAACTGTGCAATTATCCTCTCTATTTAATCGCAGAACATTTTAATAGTCCCCTCAAAGAAACACCATACCTATTAGCAGTCACTCCCCATTGTCTCCTACTTCCAGCCCCTTGCAACCTCTAATCTGCTTTCTGTCTTTATGGATTTTCCTTTTTTTTTGACAATTTACGTGAATAAAATAATACATGGCCTTTTGTGTCTGGATTTTTTCATCTAGCATAATGTTTTCAAGGTTCACTGATGCTGCAGCATGTATCAGCACTTCATTTGCTTTACTGGGCAAATAATATTCCATTGTATGTAGATACCACATTTTATTTATTCATTCATTAGTTGGATGGACCTCTGGGTTATTGCCACATCTGTTTCAATTCTCTTGGGTACGTACCTAGGAGTAGAATTTCTGGGTCATATGGTAGGTTATCTGATGTGTTGGCATACAATTGTTCATACTATTCCCTTATAATTATTTTTTATTTCATAAGGCCAGTAGTAATATATCCTATTTAATTCCTGATTTTAGGAATTTGAGTCTTTTCTCTTTTTTTCTTGGTCAATATTGCTAAAGGTTTATCAGTTTTGTTGGTCTTTTCAAAGAACCAATTTTTTGTTTTGTTGATTTTCTCTATTGTTTTTCTATTCTTTATTTCATGTATTTCCACTCTCTTCTTTATTATTGCCTTCCTTATGCTTGCCTTGGGTTTAGTTTGCTCTTATTTCTAGTTTCTTAAAGTTTAGGTTATGGATTTAAGACATTTTTATTTATTACGTTGATCATTATTAGGTTATTGATTTTAGATTCTTTTGGTAAATATATGTGGCCGCCGGGCATGGTGGCTCACTCCTGTAATCCCAGCACTTTGGGAGGTCGAGGCAGGTGGATCACCTGAGATCAGGAGTTCGAAACCAGCCTGGCCAACATAGTGAAACCCCGTCTCTACTAAAAATACAAAAAATTAGCTGGACGTGGTGGCGCATGCCTGTAATTCCAGCTACTCAGGAGGCTGAGGCAGGAGAATTGCTTGAACCTGGGAGGCGGAGGTTGCAGTGAGCTGAGATGGTGCTATTGCACTCCAACCTGGGCAACAAGAGTGAAACGCCATCTCAAAAAAATAAAAAAAGTAAATATATGTGTTATGATTATAAGTTTCCCTCTTAGCATCACTATTACTACATCCTATAAATTTGCGTATGCTGTGTTTTTTCATTCATCTGAAAGTATTTTCCCATTTCCTTTGTAATTTCATCTTTGACCCTGTATTAGTTCTCACACTTCTATGAAGAAATACCTGAGACTGGGTGCAGTGGCTCACACCTGTAATCCCAGAACTTTGGGTGGCCGAGGCAGGCAGATCACCTGAGGAAGGGGGATCCAGACCAGTCTGGCCAATATGGAGAAACCCTATCTCCACTAAAAATACAAAAACTAGCCTGGCATAGTGGCAGGTGCCTGTAATCCCAGCTACTCAGGAGGTTGTATCAGGAGAATTTCTTGAACCCACAAGGCAGAAGTTGCAGTGAGCTGAGATCGCACCACTGCACTCTAGCCTGGGCAAGAGAGCAAGACTCCATCTCAAAAAAAAAAAAAAAGGAAGGAAGGAAGGAGGGAAGGAAGGAAGGAAGGAAGGAAGAAAGAAAGAAAGAAAGAAAAAGAAAGAAAGAAAGAAATACCTGACACTGTAATTTATAAAGAAAGGAGGTTTAATCCGCTCATGGTTCTGCAGGCTGTAAAGGAAGCATGATGCTGGCCATCTGCTCAGCTTCTGGGGAGGCCTCAAGAAACTTACAGTCATGGTGGAAGGCAAAGGAGGAGCCAGCACTTCACGTGGCTGGAAGAGGAGGAAGGTGGGGAGAGGTGCTACACACTTTTAACAACCAGATCTCCTGAGAACTCTATCATGAGACAGTACCAAGGGAATGGTGCTAAACCATTAGAAACCACTCGCATGATCCATTCATCTTTCATCAGACCCTACCTCCAACATTGGGGATTACAATTATACATGGGATTTGGGTGAGGACAAAGATCCAAACCATATCAGACCCAGTGGTTATTTAGAAGTGTGTTCTTTGATTCACATGTTTTTGTGAATTTTCTTCTGTTATTTGTTTTGAATTTTATTCCACTGTGGTCAAAGCACATACGTCTTATGATTTCAACCCTTTTAAATTTACTGTTTTATGTCCTAAAGTGTGGTCTATTGTACACAAATCTTCTATGTGCACTTAAGAAGGATATGTGTTTTGCCATTCTTGCATGGGGCGTTGTCTAGATATATGATAGTTCTAGTTTGTGCAGTATTGTTCAAGTTTTCTATTTTCTTGTTGATCTTCTGTCTAGTTGTTCTATCAGTTATTGAATGTCGGTATTGAAGTCTTTTTGAATTGTATTTTCAGTTTGGAACTTTTTTCTCCTGTATAAAACAATAATTATGAATGTATTTTGATGGGCACACAATGGATAAAGTTGTAACTTGTATTTCAGTACCATCACAAAGGAGGAGGGAGAGAAAGGAGATATTTAAGAGCAGCATTTTTATGTATTGTTGAAATGTAGTTGGTATTAATCTGAACTAGATTGTTACAGTAAGATATTAATTGAAATTCCCAAGACAACCACTAAGGAAAAAACTAAAAAAAAAAAAATACCATAAAGGAAATGGCACAGGTATTAAAATAGCACAAAAGAAAATATCTATTTAACATAAAAGAAGGCACTAATAGAGGAATAAGCAACAAAATAGACACAAAATGCATAAAAAACAAATAGCAAAATGGTGCATATATATATATATATATATATCCTGTCTTATCACTAATTTCACTGAATGTAAATCAATTAAGCACTCCAATTAAAAGGCAGATATTGTCACAATTGATTTCAAAAATATGATACAAGTATATGCTATTTACAAGAGACACACTTTAGATTCAAATACACAAATGGGTTGAAAGTAAAAGGATGCAAAAAGATATACCTTAAAATCAACAATCAAAAAGGAGCTGGAAATCCCACAGCTCAAAATATGTCAAAAAGAAAGGAAATCAGTATGTCAAAGTGATATGTGCATGCCCATGTTTATTGCAGCACTGTTCGCAATTGCCAATATGTAGAATTAACCTAAGTGTCTATTAACAGATGAATGGATAAAAATGGGGGTCGATATACACAATGGAATACTACACTGCCACGAAAAAAATGGAATCCTGTCATTTGTAGCAACATGAATTGAACTGGAGGTCATTATGTTAAGTAAAATAAGCCAAACACAGAAAAATATTGTATGTTCCTACTCATATGTGGGAGCTAAAATAGTTGATCTTATAGAGACAAAAAATAGGATGGTGGTTACTTCTTAATTAAATTAGAAAGCTAATTTAATTAAATTAGTAAACTATTTTTAAAATTTAATTCTTTATTGTGTGCTGTTTCACTGCACCTACAAATACAGTGCTCTAAAAGGACCCAAACCGTGTATGCTTTTCGTTACTCATCAGTGGATCCTCAGTGCCTGGAACAGTGCCTGGAACAGTGCCTGATGCATAATAGGGACTCAATATGTATTTGATGAATGAATTTTCTTTGTGCAAACTTTATAGAAAAAAATAAAAAATAGAAGACCTACTTTAATGGAGCAACATACTCTATTCATGGATGAGAAGACAATAATAAAGATAAGAAGTCCCTCTTCCAAATAATCTATAATTTAAATGAATTCCAAACATGGATTTTTCATAGAACTCAATAAGCTAATCTAAAATCCATATGAAAGAATAACAAACCAAGATAATTCCAAAAAAGGATATGGAGGAGAAAGCTGGAGGAGAATAGAACTTCAAGGAGAAATAAGTAAATCTACAATTGTGGTCAGAGATTTCAATAATCCTCTCTCAATAATTGATATAACAAGAAAAGAGAAAATCAGCAAGGATATAATAGATGAAACAATATTATAACTACCTTGACCTAACTGACATATATACTGTATTCCACCCAACAATAGCAGAATACACATTCTTTTCATGCACTTACGAAACTTTTACTAAGATAGACCACATTATAGGTCATAAAACAAGCATCGATAAATTTCAAATGAGTCAAGTAACACAAAATCTGGTTTCTGACTCAATAGTATTAAGACGGAAGATACACAACAGATAGTTAATTGGAAAAGCTCCAAAATTTTGAAAACTAAAAAACACAATTCTAGGTAACCCATGGGTCAAAGATAAAACCAAAAGAGAAATTAGAAAGTGTTTTACACAGAATGATAATGAAAACACAGCATATCAGAATTATGGGGATATCATTTAAAGCAGTAATT